GGGGGGCGGGGGCGCAGTCAGGGGGCCGCCATGGGGCTGCTGCGCTCTCCGCGATGTTCATTTTGTTTCCCTTATACTAGGCCACAGGGACGTGAGTATCTTGTTTTATTCTTTATGCTTTTTTGTATGTTTCCTAAAAGCTTTGTAAAAGGGATTAATACAGAGAAAAGCCGGTGTGCATGAGTATCACAAACAAAACAGAGCGAAACCTGCCCGGCTTCGGGGCAGGGTCGTCTCCCTAAGGGGCCGGCCATCCTCCTGACCCCGCCCACCCCAAGGGGCCACCTCACGGCCTGGTGGCTGATGGTGCTGGACCCTCTATGCAGGTGGGTCCAGAGTCCCGGGAAAGCCTCCTGGGTGCAGAGAGTGAAGCTGGGCGCTGTGCGTGCACTGTCAGGCCGGACATGCAGCAGCCTCGGTCAGGAAGCATTTGGGGTTCCTCGTTGATCTGAAAAGGAGGCGCGTGGTGGACATGGCCGGACTGGGGGAAGAAACGAACCAACAAACAAAAACAAAATCTTAACCCTGTTTTTGGTCCTTGGGTGACCATTCAATACTCTGCCTCCTGGAAAAAATGGGAGGGTGGACACCGGGGCCCCGCACTCCCTGTCTGCCACCCTACTCCACCTCCCTGCCAGGTGCTGAGCACGCAGCACTCGCACAGAGTGGGAGGTCCCACAGATGGGGCCCCTTCAGCCTCCAGCTCTCCTGCCCCTCACCCAACCTCTCTGTGCCCACAAAAGCGCCCCCCTTGCCTGCACCTCTGTCCTCCTGCCTTCGGTCACCCTGTGCTCTGTGCATGCCCCAGGGAGCTCCCTTCTCCAGGCTCAGTCAGCCTCACCGATAGCTCTGTTAAAATAAGAAATGTGGTAGAAATGTCTGCACATCAAGGAACCAGAACCCAGTCTGGAAGGCTGATCCTATGTTCCTCTTTTTCTCGACAATAGAAATACAGACCTGTGACTACCTCACTGGTTCCCATCTTCCCCATTTGTGTCATTTGAAAAAATATCCAAGGAGAATTGGGTCCCACAACATGTTGGGGAGCAGACAGTGTCCACAACCAAATGACCTATTTCTTTGGGCGAGGGTCTTCTGGACCCTTTTATAACCTCTTCTGGGAGCAGAGATAATTAGCAAAAACGCTTTCCAGTCAAAGCTCCATTTCCTCATCAGACCCCTCTTTGTTCAGTAATTGGCACATTTTGAGACAAGAGTTTTCCTAGGAACTTTTGAAAACACTCCACGTTCATTTTGTTCCATAGATGTAAAATGTGTCTTTGTGTGAAAGCAGAACACAGACCTGGGTGAGACTTGGACTTCTAAACAGTCACAATTTGATGATCTTTCTAGAAAGAGGAGAAGCCATCCAGCTGCCAGTGGCACAGCGCTCTCAGGCTCCAGAGCAGAGGTCCACCACAGGTCCTGTGCCACCTCGACGCTGACCTTCTGGAAAGTGCTGTCTGAGCTCAGCCTCTCCTCCCCTCTCCTCTCTCTCACTCCTCTCACCCGTTCCGCCGTCCAGCCTCCGGCGTTTCTGTCCGCCCACTGAAGCCCCTGCCCCTGGGGCCGCACCAGCGTCCTTGTCACTCTGTCCTGTTGACCCTGCTCAGATCTGTCACCCCACCCCGGGACCTCATCCACGCCGCCAGACTAGGACAATTCAGCATGGCCCCCTGTCCACTGGAATCCAGGTGAACCACCAAGTTCACTCATGGGGGAAGTCAAAGGCCTCAGGTTCCTTCTGATTCCCGGGGCCGCTC